CTTTTGCATTTTTCTAAAGATTATAACGGAAGAAAGTGCCAAAATAGTTAAAATGTTTATTTATGGTAATCTTTTTGATAGATTCAGCCCCATTAATAGATAATAACATTAAATTATGATGAGGTAACCAGCTGGACCAATGTAATTAATAGAAGATGGTGTGTGATTAATAAGACAAATTAAATAGATTTTTTATTTTTTTATTTACATACTCTGGCATGAAATTTTTGACTTGAAACTTTGCAATAAACGCATGAGACAAATTCTTAGTTCCCCAGTTTGCTGTCCTCTCTTTAACTTATTTTACCTGAAAAATTAATTCTTTAGTTTAAAAGATTCCAAATTTTACACAATATAAATTGATAATGTCCGAAAATATAACAATAATAAATTTAATTTAATAAGATATTTTATTTTTCAAAAGTGCTGATCAAAACTATGATAGAAAAACAAGTTTGATATATTTATAAATAGACAGATAATTCGTTTTACGTAGGTTTTAGTAAAAACATTTATTTGGCTATGATTTTAGGTTTACTAACTTGGCTTTTATTTTTCACTTTTACTCAAATTTTTCATGTGAAAAAAATAAAGAGATTTTAATATTTGGTATTCATGTTCCTAATAAAATTGTTTCCAAATAAAGATAGGAAAAAAAATAATAATTTGAAGCTTATTAAAGAAAGGGAAATGATTAGGGTGGAACTGGTAGAGTGAATAATCATGCATGCTTGATTGGGTTAATTAATTAGAAATTGAAGGTGCATGACCAATTTTCTATATGCTAATTAAGTATATAGTTTATGGTATGTTGTTAATTTTGTGGTTGTAATGTGTATTCTTGGATCGAAATTAAAGGAATTTTGGATCATAGCATTTGTATTATTGTGTTAATGTGTCATGAACAATATAACATAAAGAATGAACATGTGTGGTTGCTATCACTTTTGTTCTGACTTCTTTTTCTGGGAAGTGTAGTTCCCTTTGGTAGGTTGAAGTTGAAAATGTATTAGTGTTTAATTATGACAAAATATGGTAAGACAATGAGTGATTTTGTTTTATATAAGATGCATACATTTATAAAAAAATGTTTGAAAGAAGTTTAGATGACAAGTGGACCTTTTGTTAGACCTTTAAATAATTGTTATTAACATTATATGAGCATGTCACCCACCAACTAAACAAAGTTCAAAAATTCATCATATATCATATCATTCAAACAAAATTTAGTTAAGTCCTTCCTCCCAATTATATTTCATTTAAATGGAAAGTTTCTATTAAGTTATGAACAACTTCTTATATTATAGTCACACGCTATTTATATGTTTTGTAGGAATTCACCATCTGCACCAGTAATTATTTTAATCTTAGTCTAGTATTTGTTTTTATTTTTATTGTTACAAAATTTAGGAGGGATTTTTTTTCAATGGAAATTGTTCTAAAATTTATAATTTTTAGATCATTAGAATAAATAATAATAATAATAATAATAATAAAGATGAAAAGTCTTTAAAAGTATATCAATTTACAATGTTAAATTATTATATCATAAAAATAAACGAAAGTTGAGAATAGGGAATAGATTCTAACTCTAAAGGCAACTATTAAAAATAATTCATATGTTTTTTATAATTTTATTGTAAAAAGTAAACTAATTAATGTCAAACCATAAAACATTTTTATATCATACATTATAAAACATAATTAGCTGACGAAAAACTCTGAAATACTTATAATATTGAGTATTTTAAACATAATTACAAAAACTAAATAACGATAAAAAGTACGTTTTGTTCTCCATACCATACAAAATAATTTCTTAAGTGATATTTCTATATTTGGGCCTTTATTTGTTTGGTTACGGGCTTTTGGTTCAAGTGCCCACAAAGTAAGGCTCTACCTAGGCTTAGAATAGATACTTTGATATATAACCTTAACATGTTTCCCTTAAGTTACAGGATATGATTTAACAGTGTGTAATATAATCGCGTTTGTAATGCATTGCGTTTTATATTACCCTCTTAAACAACAACTGAAAAAATTAATATAAACATTTAATATTAAGGTGCAGATTGTCAAAATGAACGTTAATTCTCGCTTGTATGAATTTACGATATAAGAAAAAAAAACTTGATAGTCTCATTTTATCTGTATTTTAAAATAAATTATCATTTTAAGTTTAATTTAACTTTATATTAGTTCAACAAATGAATGGATCAATTTAGATTTTATTAAAAAAAATTTAAAAATATTAAAATAAAATTAAAAATATATTTTTAAAATTTAAATTATATTAATGAAATTAAATTTTATTTAATAATTTAATATATAATTTATAAAAAAATATTTATTCAAACCTAAAATAAGAGATAACAAATTATTTTTTATTATTATAATTTATTGATTTAAAATAATAATTAATCATAATTATTAAATCTTAAAATAAATTTTAAAATAAATGAAAATGAAAAATTATTCTAAGAGTGAATTTTTATCAATTAATTTATAATATATATATATATATATATATTTAATAAAATAATATATTTTTATTTTAAAAGTAATTTTTATTCTATAAAATGAATTGATCATACATGGATTAATTTGATCTAAACCTAAATATAAATTAAATAAATTAAAATAAAATAGGTCTTATTTTCAAAAAAAATAATTCATAACATATTTCTTATATATTTTTTTTTTGTTAATCCATCGACTCAATGACAATCTTAAATAATTTTCAAGTCAACGAAGAGTTAGACCTAAATATTATTTTTTTTATCAATTTTTTATTTATTTTAATAAATAGCATAACAATGTCAAAAATAAAGTTGACATTGTCGTACCAAAATAAATAGCTATTACCAAATGATTTTTCTAATAATAATGCAAATTCTGAATGCTATAACCATTAGTTGGTGGTGTTCATACCATTAATTTATTAATAAATTATAATTACAAGTAGGAATTTGTCAACGATTAAAATGTATATAATATATTGAAAGTATGAAAGGGTTTTCATTATATAATATAATGAGAGAGAAATAAGAACAAATAATTTGACTTTCGTATGTGTTAATTAGTCTCTATATATAATAAAAAAATTTAGAGAAAATACGTAGAAAATTTTTATAAAATTAATTTATATATAATATAAGTTAACTTTGATTTATGAAAAAAATAATTTTTATTTTTATTCTTATTTTTTTAGGAAAAAAATTATAGAATAAGTTATCCAAAATGGGTCCATTTATTTTCTAAAAAAAAGTACCAAACATTGAAATTGCGGATATATAATAATTAAGACCATTCGTAATTAGTCCAACCTGTTCAAATTTCCACACTTTCTCTCTCTTAATATATAATGCTTCATATATTATTATTATTATTATTATTATTATTATTATTATTATTATTATTATTATTATTATTATTATTATTATTATTATTATTATTATTATTATTTGTGTTTTCCAGCAACTAGTTAATCACTTTTAGAAGCTAGCTAGAATTTTTTTTAATGATTGTACCATTTTAATTTATATATAGAGTCAATAAAAAAATAAAGTCAAAATTTCTTCGGCGACTCAATAAACATTTCCCTAATAATAATAAAAAAACATTTAACTAAATTACAACTTTTATGTCTCAAAATTTATTCAATATTTTGTTGACTAAATTACAACTTTAAACTTTTTTAATATTTTGTTAATGATTTTAGTATCTAAATGAATTCAATCTATAATTAATTTTGCTCTAATCCCCAATGTTACATTTATTTATATTTTAATTAACTAAATTATATTTTAATAATACCTTAAATCAATATATTAATTAAACTGAGATAACTGAAATATAACATACACAAAATATTGAAAAAATACTACAAAATTTTTACAACTTAGAAACTAAAATTGTGAAATAAAATTAAAAAAAAAATCAAACAGATAAAAGAATTATAAAAAAAAAATTGGTAATAATAATAATAATAAGCTTGAATTTATTATTAATAACGTTGACAAGCTTTAACATGAAGTAGTATGATATATATCCTTATTTCTATGATTTTATGTCATATTATTTTAATGCTTAACCTATAACTGATTGAGTTCGTGGTAATCGTGCGAATGCTTCTGACTCAAGAAAAATAATTAAGATTCCTTGATTAATGTCTCTAATGGAAAAATATGATTCCTAACTTCACCCTTTTGTCTAACACCTATCCTTCAAAAATATTCGTATAGATCTTTTACTTTACACACAGAAGAAACACCAAACAACAAAATGATTAAGAAAGAAAAAGGAAAATGAAGATGTAATGGAACAGAAGTAAGATCTGCATATCTATTTTGATTATCTGTTTAATATTCTGCCACTTGTCATTTTATTGGAAATGGCATGTGTTATGTGTTTATCGGAACATATCATATTAGTTTTAATTATGTGTTAGACATGCTATTTATATCTGAATATTGATGACCATAAAATTACTACTTCTTATAAAGAAAACATGTTTTCGTCATCATTGCCAGCTCACTGCTATATATAAAATGTTCTGCATTGAATTCTTATTATCAAAAACTTGAAAGCTTTTTGCGACCAATTTTAGGATTCAATTAGGAACGATTAAATCATTATGACAATGAGAATCATGATTGGTTAAAGTTAAGGACAATATATAACAAGTTTGAAAGTGAAATAGTGCCTTAAAAGTAGCTAGTAGAATTCGTAAAAATAGAGTTGCAGAAATAGTGTTAGCTACTAAGCTGTCTGCAAAAAATGATTGTTGATCCAGTTGAAATTGACACAAGAAAATGTTGTGCACATCCAGTTGTATCATTTTCGTGATGAACTAAAATATTATGTGAATAGTTCGAGCAAGTAAACTAATTAATCAATTAAATTTTCTGGATACCCTATGGCTAGTTCCTTCTATATATAAATCACACCCTAGCCAAAGCAATAACAACTAAGCTCAAAGCGGGTAAGAGCACACCACGATGGCTTCAATTATCCAATCACTGCTTGTGCTTGTTCTGGCCACTTTGGCCACATTTATGGTCCCATGCAGTGCACAACTAAGTCCTAATTTCTATAACAAAGTTTGTCCCAAGGCATTGCCAGTCATAAGATCAGTTGTTCAACGAGCAATTGTTCGTGAACCACGCATTGGAGCCTCATTTCTGCGTTTGCATTTCCATGACTGCTTTGTTAATGTAAGTTATCATTTTTACTGTGTTATGGTGTTGCAAACTACTGTTATGTTAGTTTCATGTTTGATGCCATAAACTTAGATACAACTATGTACTATTCATGTTAGCACCCTAGCCAATATAAAAAAAAAAAATCAACACACGATTAATTAAGCATTGAGAAGGAAAGCACCATCATATCCCTTTCTATTTCTATTATGATCATATGATATTATGATATATGAATTTACTGATTTGTTGAATGGTTTGGATGATTGACACACACAGGGATGTGATGGATCAGTTCTGTTGGATGACACAAGGAACTTCACTGGGGAGAAAACAGCCCAGCCAAATCTGAATTCCATCAGAGGGTTTGAAGTGGTTGATGAGATCAAGGCAGCAGTTGACAAAGCTTGCAAACGCCCTGTCGTGTCATGTGCTGATATCTTGGCTACAGCTGCTCGAGATTCTGTGGCCATCGTAAGCATATACTATAATTACAATTAATTAAACTATCCTATGTTAATTAGTTGTTAACCTCTTGTTTTAGAAAAGAGTAAATAGTTTATAAATTACAGCTTAAAGAATTTTTATACTGTTATATGCTATATGATAAAAAAAAAAAACTGTAACGAATTAGATCGTGTAATAATTGTGTTAAAATTTTATATCAATTATAATTTTATTAATTGAAACGGAAAATTTTAAAAATAAATTTAACTGAATATACGTACAGTATGATATTAATCAATGGTCAATTATCATATCATAAAGCCATTGACTTTTACGAAAATTACTTCAAAATTCATATTTTTAATATAAATGTAAACTATAAACACCTTTATATATTATACATTTCATCAACACTATTTTTCTTTAGTTTATATATATATATATATATATATATATATATATATATATATATATATATATGTATTTCTTTCCTTCCCTTTGTAGGTTAACTAGAAAATAACATCTACAAATTTTTTTATTAATTTTTGGATTTTTCATTGATTGTTCTTGTTAACAACAGTTGGGAGGTCTACACCTATGGTATCCTGTATTACTTGGCAGAAGAGACGCCAGAACTGCGAGCAAAGATGCTGCAAACAACAACCTTCCCGCTCCATTTTTCAGCTTCTCACAGCTTCTCACCAATTTCAACTCTCACGGAATGAACCTCAAGGACTTAGTGGCACTCTCTGGTGGCCACACCATAGGGTTTTCAAGGTGCACCAACTTTAGAGACCGAATCTACAACGACACCAACATCAACCCTACTTTTGCAGCCTCTCTGCGCAGAACATGCCCTAGAGTTGGTGGCGATAACAACTTGGCTCCATTGGACCCAACTCCTGCAATGGTTGACACTTCATACTACAAGGAGTTGCTCTGCAACAAGGGTCTCCTTCACTCTGACCAAGAGCTCTACAAGGGCAATGGCAGTGAAAGTGACAAGTTGGTAAAGCTTTACAGTGAGAACCCTTTTGCATTTGCTAAAGATTTTAAGGCTTCTATTATCAAGATGGGTAACTTGAAGCCTCTCACTGGGAGAAAGGGAGAGATCAGACGCAATTGCAGAAGGGTTTGTAAACTTTATGCAGTTTTCCTACGTTCTTCATTCATTATAGAAAACTACTCTATAGGATCTTTAGATTATTGATTTTCACATTTGCATACATCAATACATGAATCTAATAAGAGAACTAACCTTGATCCATGAGAATCCTTCTTGATCCTTTCGTTCTCCAATCTCCTTTTCCCAATCTATCTCTTTGCCTTTCTTTCTCTTCACACGCTTCGCTTTCTTGATGGTTTACCGTGAAAAAGACCTTATGGCCAGAGACAGAACCCTAATCTTTTTTTTAACCAACGTCCATCGAGTTGGTTACATTCAGTTAATATTTTATTTTATCTTTATTTTATTCTGACTTCACATAATAACCAATAGGTCCTTATAATTATTAAATCACATTTGGGCCCTTTATAATATTTCACATGAGTCACATAATGGAATGAATTAATTAAAAATTAATTCTAACATTCTCCCACTTGACCCATGTGATGTCATACGATCTCGTGATTTAATACTTAAGTCATAAAGCGCATTTAAGGACCTTACATAAATTGATTCTATCATTATTCATAATTAAAGATACAGGTATAACAAGAGTCATGGCGGTTACATATCATTCAATCGACAGGCTCCCTTCCATGTACCACTATATTATCTCTTTCTCCTTAATATGACTTTATAATGAGAAGTACATAATGGGTTCAAACATAATATCATTTTAAAATAATAACATAATTTGTTTTCTTCATCATAATTTGCATGCATATAAATAAAGAAGAAAACACAAATTTCAAAACTTATACATTAAAGATCTCGGAGTGTCATATAAACATTAATAATAACATTAACATTCAACATTCATTACTAGTAAACATAATGCCCATATTTACTATATGGCCAGCAAACAACTTAGGCGGTAATCCCTTTGTTAAAGGATCAAGCAATCATAAGATCAGTGCTAATATGTTCTATTGACACTCTCTGTTTCGAACTTCTTCTTTAACGGCAAAGTATTTCAATTCCATATGCTTAGCACCTTTGGAATACCTGTCGTTCTTAGAAAAGAAGACTCGCTGCGGAATTGTCACAATAAATTTTCAGCGGCTTGGCAATGTTGTCGACTACTCCAAGTCCTCGAAATAAAATTCCGCAACCAATTAGCTTGAACTGTGGCCTCAAAGCATGCCACAAATTCAGACTTCCATGGTGGATGCAACGAATGACAGACTCGCTTCGCACTTTTCCATGAAATCGCTCCTTCGGCTAAAAGATACACATAACCAAATGTTGACTTTCGTGTATCCTTACAACCAAGAAAATCTGAATCAGTATATCCAATCACCTCAAGGTGATCAACTTTCCTATAAGTAAGCATGTGATTCTTTGTTCCTTGTAAGTATCTCAAAACTTTCTTTGCAGCCTTCCAATGATCCAGTCCAGGATTACTGCGGTATCTACCAAGCATACCAACCGCAAAGCTAATATCCGGCCTCGTACATGTTTGAGCATACATCAAACTCCCAACAACAAGATGCATAAGGGATATTTTCCATCTCGTTTCCGTTCCAAGTCATTCTTTGGACATTGCATAAGACTAAATTTGTCTCCTTTCGTATTGGAACTGGAGATGCTTGAACACTTCTCCATTCTGAATCTCTCTAAAACTTTATTAATATATGCTTTCTGAGACAAACCTAACAGTCCTTGTGATCTATCACGGAATATTTCTATTCCTATCACATAGTATGCCTCACCCATATCTTTCATTTCAAAGTTGTTAGAGAGAAACTTCTTAGTCTCACTTAATAGACCAAGATCATTAGTCGCAAGCAAGATATCATCAACATACAGAATCAGAAATATAAACTTACTCCCACTGACCTTCAGATATATACACCGATCAACAGTGTTTTCCTTAAATCCAAAGGACAAAATAGTATCATTGAACTTAAGATACCATTGTCGAGAAGCTTGTTTAAGTCCATATATTGATTTCTTAAGTTTACACACCATATGTTCCTTTCCTTCTTCAATAAACCCCACTGGTTGATTCATATAAACATCCTCCTCTAAATCTTCATTCAGAAAAGCAGTTTTAACATCCATTTGATGCAACTCAAGATCATAATGAGCTACTAATGCCATGATAATTCTAAAGGAATCTTTCTTAGAAACAGGTGAAAATGTTTCCTTATAATCAATGCCATCTTTCTGAGTAAAACCTTTGGCAACAAGTCGGGCCTTGTAACGTTCGATATTGCCATGAGAGTCACGCTTAGTCTTAAAGACCCATTTACACCCAACACTCTTACATCCTTCTGGCAATTCCACAAGATCCCATACACCATTCTGTGTCATTGATTTAAGCTCATCTTTCATAGCATCTAACCATTTATCAGAATTATCATCATTAATGGCATCTGAAAATGAAACTGGGTCATTATCAATACTTAGGTCATTTTCTGACTCTTGTAGATAAACCACGTAATCATTTGAAATAGCAGACTTTCTTTCTTTATGAGATCTTCTTAATACTATTTCCTGTGGTTGTTCTATTATCGGATCATTGTTTATCTCAGGATCATTAATTTGTTGTTCTTCTTGATTGTCGTGTGATTCTACAACATTTGGAACAACAACTCTTGAAGATGTACTAGTTATTGGAACTTGTACTCTAATTTCCTTAATCTCCACATTTCGTGAAGCTTCACTCCCACTGGTTTCACCATTCTCAATGAACCGAGCATTTCCAGTTTCAACAATTCTTGTACTATGAGTAGGACGATAGAAACATATACCCCTTTGATTTTTCTCGGATAACCAATGAAATATCCATCGATTGTTCTTGCATCCGGTTTCTTTTCTTGCGGATTATAAATTCTTACTTACGCTCGACAACCCCAAACATGTAGGTGTCTTAAACTGGGTTTCCTACTTGTCCATAACTCAAAAGGAGTCTTTTGAACCGCTTTACTAGGAACCCCTGTTCAACAAATACATGGCGGTCTTCAAAGCATACATCCACAACGATACAGGTAAACATGAATTACTCAACATACTCCTAACCATATCCATTAAGGTTCGATTACGCCTTTCGGACACACCATTTTGTTGCGGTGTGCACTGGCATTGTGTATTGAGCACAAATACCACGCTTCTCGAGGAACTTAGCAAACGGACCAGGGTGTTGTCCACTTTCATCATATCTTCCATAATACTCACCACCTCTATCCGACTCGACAATTTTCACCTTTCATCTAATTGCCTCTCCACTTCGTTTATATAACTTTCTAAGGCATTTACTTGCTTGAGATTTCTCATATAGTAAATAGACATATCCATAACGCGAGAAATCGTCAATGAAAGTGATGAAATACTTCTCTTTATTAAAAGAATTTACGTCAAATGGACCACATATATCGATGTGTATGATTTCAAGAAGTTGAGTGCTTCTTGTGGCTCCTTTCTTTGTGTGTTTTGTTTGTTTACCTTTAATACAATCCACACATACATTCGAGATCGAGTAAAATCTAAATCCGGAAGGATTTCATTCTTTACTAATCTTTGCATTCTTTCTTTGGAAATATGTCCCAAACGCTTATGCCACAAATAAGCGAGATCTTTCATCCACCAAACTACGTTTAGTGCCAACATTATGATGCAAGGTCATGAGAGTTTCAGACATATAAATTATCCAAATTCAATTTATATAAACCATCATAAAGTGTACCAGTTCCAATCATACATGTACGCTTAAATAAACTGAAACAACTATTCCCAAACTTAAAAGAGTATCCAACGAACATCGAGCTTAGACAAAGAAACTAAATTTCTAGTGATACTAGGTACATAAAAAGTATCCATAAGGTCTAAGTGATATCCAGTGTCAAGGATTAAACGATAAGTCCGACGAGCTTCCACTGGAACCTTGACTTTATTCCCCATGAAGACGAACTTCTCATTTGGGTTTATGGTTCGGGTTGAAAGGAATCCTCGCATCACATTAGAAACATGAGTTGTACATCCAGAATCAATCCACCAAGTATTATGGGGAACTTGAGTTAAATTTGATTCAAAACATACGTAAGCACTATGCTCACCTTTCTTTTCGAACCAAGCTTTACGCTTTAAGCGAGTCCTTCCGAAAATGTCCAGACTTCCCGTGAAATGACATTTGTCATTTTTCTTCGAATGTTAGTAGAGGACTCGTTAATCTTTAATGGTCCTTTACCCTTTCCATGTTTCTTAACAACTTTCTTTTTAGCTCCTTGATTTTTCACGTAATGAATAGAGTGGCTTCCTAGGTTCTTGAGTCTCGGTCTCCTCCTGGACTAACATACTGTGCAATTCATGCACATTCCATTTGTCTTTCATGGTGTTATAGTTCATCCGAAACGGACCATACTCGAAGCGGTAACTGAGTTCAAAATGAATTGCACAAGGAAATTTTCTTCCACTCGCCATTCCTAGAGACTTCAGTCTTGCTGCGATATTTGTCATTTCGATTACGTGTTCATGCATACTACGAGAACCATCAAACTTCATGGTGGTCAACGTACTCATCAATGTCCCAGCGAGGGATTTGTCAGCAGTTTGAGAGCGCTCTTCCACAAATTTCATGAACTCTTTCGCATTCTCAGTTTTGGGAAGAGCAGACTTAATATTGCTTGCTACACTCATTCGCATAAACATAAGGCTAAGTCGGTTTGATCTTTCCCAAGCTCTATAATGAGTTTTCTCTTCATTACTACTAACATCGGTGATAGTAGTAGGTTTTTCAACTTGGAAAGCCAAATCAAGATCCAACACACCTAAGTGAAATTGGACTTGTTCACTCCAGTCGGGAAATTTAACCCATTAAAGACTGGAACAGACGAAGATAGCGAATGCGAGCTACGAGGAACGAGATACTCGCAATTAACACATGCCTAACATTAATACTTTGAGTCATAAAATTAAGCATAAATACAGATTTAACCATAAATTACTATTCTCTGCATACTAATGTTCTCCTTTGGGAGATCCACCAATACACAAACATAATTACGCTAATCATTTTATAACATTAATGATAATTAAAATATGCATCAACTAGAATCACCTAACACCTTTGGGTATATAAATAAAACTAGTGACGCACAGAAAATTATCTACTTTCATGTTCATTAATTATAATAACAATTAATCAACCTTTGGGTGATCCTGAAATGTCTTATAATAATGAACTTCAATTAACCCATAAATCAATTATTCATAATTTTAGCGTTCATACTATGGGTAATTGAAATAAAATCACTAATAATTTGAAATTAAAATAACCTTAAAATTTTGGCCACTTTGGTGACTAACAAAATTTATCATACTTAATTTCAAATAAAATAATAACTTTAATTGTTATTAATCATTTATAATATTTTCTATTATTATTTATTTATTTATTTAGCAATAACAAACCATAATTCATTCACGTATCCCATTTTAGCCTCCATATTAACATTTACGTTTTAAATTTATATTGCAATTTAAATTAATTGCAGCAGCCAATACTCATCATAAAACAAATGTCACGGAATTAAAATCAAATACATTTACCGCACCTAATATACAACTGCGCACATTGCGCACGTTAGTGCACCTAATATGCGTCACTTTATGCAGCTGGCCCATGTAATATGCACTCCCAACGTAATGAGCATCTAATTTTCTATGCGGGTAAGGAACTGGCCCACGTAATGCTTAGGTGCAGTTGTTGCAAACTGACCCACGTAACTTGCGCGCAGGTAAGGTACCCTTAGCATGTTTAATATGCAATTTGCGCAGAACATCTTAATCAAATACATGAACTCCTTCAATTGCCCAGATCCCATCATTTTAATTGCATAATTAACTTAATTGCAGCGGAGCATTATTAAAACTATTACGTGAGCCAAACGAGTAAATGCGCCTACATTTTTCTTTTCAACTAAAATAATCATGGAAACACATAAATTATCAAATTGATTTCAATTTGAAATTAAATACAGACCTTTATCTATAAATTAGGGCTTATCTATTTATTCAATTTTGGGAAAAAATAAATTTGGGAATAATTAGGGTTCACATTAATCTGATAAAAATTCCTAAATTCATAATTAGGGTTTATCCTAATTTGAGAAAAACATAATTTAGGAAAAACTTTCATAAAAGGAAAATCATAAATCTAATAACCTACGTGCTCGATACCACATGTAAACTTTATGCGGTTTTCCTAACGTTCTTCATTCATTATAGAAAACTACTCTATAGGATCTTTAGATTATTGATTTTCACATTTGCATACATCAATACATGAATCTAATAAGAGAACTAATCTTGATCCATGAGAATCCTTCTTGATCCTTTCGTTCTCCAATCTCCTTTTCCCAATCTATCTCTTTGCCTTTCTTTCTCTTCACACGCTTCGCTTTCTTGATGGTTTACCGTGAAAAAGACCTTATGGCCAGAGACAGAACCCTAATCTTTTTTTTAACCAACGTCCATCGAGTTGGTTACATTCAGTTAATATTTTATTTTATCTTTATTTTATTCTGACTTCACATAATAACCAATAGGTCCTTATAATTATTAAATCACATTTGGGCCCTTTATAATATTTCACATGAGTCACATAATGGAATGAATTAATTAAAAATTAATTCTAACAGGGTTAACTAATCTTGCTGCATCGATCTTTCGGGCATGGACCACAATAAAGATTCAAAGATTGAGAAATTATGAGTGTGATAGATTACTATTACTATGTCTAGCGAACCAAGCTATTCATGCATGTGTCTATAATTTTGTTTTTTATGTTTTCTATTTTATTAAGATTAACGTGTTAGGTTCAGATAACATTGAACCATAAGTGTCACAAGAAATCAGTAACATATGAAGGTCCCTGTGAGACGGTAGCTATGCACTGAGGGAAAAATCACTGCAAGATTTTTTAAATCTGTTATTCGTTTTAACTAAAAAAATTAAAGCTTTTTTAATTGTCTAATATAAACATGAAGTAATCAATTTGATACTTGTTTGTCTCAAACTTCTAATCTCTCCGTATTATATGCAATTTACAAGCGCGTATCACTCCTCTCCATTAAATGACTCCATTCATGAGCTTAATTTTAGGGCAAACATTGAGAGTTTAAGAAATATTTACTGTCATTTTTTGGAGGCATATATATCTTGGCCTGCAACATAAAATAATGGAAAATTATCTGTCTAAACGCGTAATTATTGTGAAACATTTTTAATTAATAAGGTGAAAGAATGTACATAAGACCAGCTATGTTCATTATTTTGGAGTTACTCGCACAGTAGTTAGGATTATTATTTTCTTTGAATAATCATATGCATATTCTATCATCTAATTGATGGAGAGTAAAGGAATCGGAGATTCATGCTTCACGCTCTATTTTATTATTCTTACTTACCCAATCTTAATTATTGATTACAAATTTCATTTTTCATTTTTCTTTTACTTGGTTACTTGCACGACTCACTCCATATACAAAATATGTATTGTAGACAGTTGTGACGGAATTTTTGACCGAATTTCGTAGTAACTTTAAAATATAACAAATTAAATTCATTTATTTTCTTTCGGGAATGAATTGAAATTAAATAAATATTATATATTTAGTCACTATCTTCGCCCACATTAATTCAATGTCAAATGTAATAATAGTTCTTCATTTTGTATATTTATATTCGTATAAAAATATATGCACGCATCGTTGACTTTTGAAGAAATCATTATAACTAATCCTAAAAAACATCATCATAGTTTAACTATTTGAATAAGTCTGATATAAGGTATAAACAAAGTTAACTGTGAATTTTTGGAATCCAATTAGTTAATATATCCCTTTTAATTTTCTTAACAATGATGGCAATTAGATTTAATAAATTAGACTTTATCCAAATTCTGAATCCTCCATAACTTATAGCCGACCTAATTATAGTACAGCACGAAAAAGAAACTATAAGATAATATTTACTCGTAATTGCTTTAACATTGCAGAATTGGTCGAGTTTTCGTTGCAATATGTTCAACTTTACTTGGTTAACATATTTCAATACGAACTTATTATATTCATATACAAATAATAGTTTTAATAAACAAATAACAACTAGCTAGTTTATGATTAGTTCTTCACATAAGTTGGTATTGACTTTTGGCTTCCTGCACACAATTTCATATCTTCATCATTAATAATGTTTACACATATTTTCTTAGAAAAAAATATAATGTATAAAACAAATAGTTGGAAAAAAATATTTGATATGTTACCAACTAAGAGATAATTTAAGAAATTTATGATTGAATTTAAAGGGGAAATTAAATATATACGTTCAAATTGCGATTGCATTTTTTTTCACGACTTTTATTATTTGTAGCAACAACAATTCTATTTGACCCGTAATATTTTAATCAAAAGTTTTTTTTTTCTTGATTTCTTTATCTTTACTGATTATAAATACTGAAATATTAATTCTCAAGTTTTGAGGACAAGATCCTTAAAAAATTCTTCACTGTCTTTTGTTAAACATTCTTACTTTTTTCTTAAAATGCGACTTTTTCCCATGTCATGCTGGCATGCATTATGCACTTACAATTGCATGCAATGCATGGACATGTGTGGCCTGTGGAGGCAAAATTTGAACATTTCTCTTACGCGGTTTGCGTCAATTTGTAATTTAGCACAATCAAGTTGGAACACAACGATCCAAAAATATATATTATGTAGATAACTGAAACAAGTAAGCTAGCTAGTTGCTACTTGGAGTCTATATAAACCCTACAAATTAAGATAAACTCACAAATCAATACACTTGCTAAGATTGAGATCCAAAAGAAAATGGCTTCTCATCTCCAATATTTCCTTGTTCTTGCCATGGCCACACTTCTCATAATCCCTTCTCATGCACAGCAACTCACACCTGATTTTTACAACACCGTTTGCCCTCAGGCACTTCCAGTCATTAAGTCAGTTGTTCAAAGAGCCATATTCCGTGAACGTCGTATGGGAGCCTCTTTACTGCGTTTGCACTTCCATGACTGTTTTGTCAATGTGAGTTGCATACAGATCCATGCACATGTCCATGGAGTCATGTTTTTACTAACAAATTTATGCATGCAGTAATGTTTAGTCCATATTGTCATTGAAAATTAGACATCTCCAACATAAAATTTACAACATGAAACATTATATATAGTCCAACAATGATCCGGTAATCTTATTATCCAACCTTGTTTCCTACTTTCTGTCGTGTAATTAGTAACAGTGTCAAAATTAGGTAGGTTTTGCATTCATGATAATTTTCTCTGACTTTGGTCTTTTCCTCCCCTATTGACTTCTTATATGTAGCCTATACATATGCATCATTTTCAAGCCAAGTTGAATAGGTCAAGTTAGTTGATTGATTTCATCAGTTAATTTTCATTGGTTCCGAATTTAAATAAGAACTTGTAGTTTAATTAAACTGAGTACGCAGCAAAATTGTAAACGAGGAAAGGTTGTCCATGTCAAAGCCCATATACGCTAGCAGAAAGTTTCATAAAACTTTGTAATGCAACCATTTCTGATAAATTAATGCATGCAAATGTTATAGTATATATTATTATCCTCAAAATAGTAATTTGTATGGCTCAAATTATAGGGTTGTGATGGATCAGTTCTGCTGGATGACACCCCCAATTTCACAGGGGAGAAGACTGCACTCCCAAATATTGGCTCAATTAGAGGTTTGGAGGTGGTCGATGAAATCAAAGCAGCGGTTGACAAAGCTTGCAAACGTCCTGTTGTATCATGTGCAGATATCTTAGCAATTGCTGCTCGTGATTCTGTGTCCATTGTGAGTCTCATTAATCAAACTAATTTTAATTTTATAACTTTCATTCTCTCTGCCGTATATATAAAAGGAAATGTGTGAAAAATTTTATATATATATATATATATATCATGAAAGTATAAAAGGAAAGAATAAACTGTATAACTATGTAGAAATAAAAGAATAAGTCATCCTTCAAAGAGTAACGAGTGTGGTGTTCTTTTAACAGTTGGGAGGTTCACTCTATTGGTACAAGGTGGCATTAGGCAGAAGGGATGCAAGAACTGCTAGCAAGGATGCTGCAAACTCAAATCTTCCTGCCCCATTTTTCAGCCTCTCCCAGCTTCTTTCAAATTTCCAATCTCATGGACTTGACCTTAAAGATCTCGTAGCTCTTTCTGGTGCACACACCATTGGATTTGCTCACTGCTCTACCTTTCGGAACAGGATCTACAATGACACCAACATAGACCCCAACTTTGCATCTTCCTTGCAGGGCACGTGCCCTAAAAGTGGTGGAGATAGTAATCTGGCACCATTGGATCGTGCCACTCCCACAAGAGTTGACACTTTATACTATACTGCTTTGCTACGTAAAAAGGGTCTCCTTCATTCTGATCAAGAGCTCTTCAAAGGAGATAGAAGTGAAAGTGACACTTTGGTGAAGCTCTACAGCACTGACCCCTTTGCTTTTGCAACAGATTTCAAAGCTTCCATAATCAAGATGGGTAACATTAAGCCTCTTACTGGGAACGATGGAGAGATCAGAGTAAACTGTAGAAGAGTCAACTAAATGCTTTCAGAGTGATGTAGGGTTTCCATAATTATCTGATCAACTTCTTCTAAATGTTTTAAATTCGAATTTCATTTGAGATTGTTAAAAAAAGTTATGTCCGAGATGTCATTTATTTTGATACTGAAACTAATACTGTTGTAGCCTCAATGTCAAAAGACTTTTGAGGTTCCATTTTTTTTTTTTTATCATGAATGTAATTGTATTTGTTTGTAATTTTTTTATAATATAAGTAATCGCGATGAGTTCATAAGAAATAGCAATTAGTTGTATTTGTTCATAATTTTTCATAAAATTAATAATTGTAATGAACTCACATAATTGCAATCTCAGTTTAAAACCCTAATAACACTATATTCTGTAATTAATAATTAGTAATATGCATAGCTACCATGACTTTTTGGGGAAGTAACTCAAAGTATGACAAAAATATTGAGTCCGAGTAAAATATTTATTTGTGTGTTTTGGTTTCATTAAGACGAACTTTCAATTTTGTATATTTAAAGAACAATAACTATTTGATTAACATAAGCAATTTACTCTCTTTTGTGTCAATGAGGCATTGACTTTATAATATCCATAGATTGTCCAATGTGGACTAATATGTGCCCTTGACCCACCTTTCTAATCCTAGGTCTAGTAGATGTGGGAAGTTTCACATGAGTAATATTTAGAAGGTAATTTATTTTTTATTAAGAATTTAAATTGTTTTATAATAAAATATATTAATTGGTTAAGAATTTTTAAAAATAAAATAAAATTTTATAAAAGTATAGATTAAGAATTTAAAATTTCATATAAAAAGAAAATAATAACATCAAATAAAGTTGATGGAAAAACATCATCAATTTATATTTTTGAATTAAGAATATTATTTAAAATTAAAATAAATTTTTTATTTTATGAAAGTTTAAAATTTTTATCTAAATAAAAAATTAAAATTGAATAAACTTAATTTCTCATACTATTAAATTATTTAAAAATAAAATCAATTATATTAAAAGAATTCAAATGTAATTTAACTTTCTTAAAACAAAGAAACCTCTAGTGATGAAAAGTAAAACAATTCTGAATTGAAAAAAAAATCAAATTTAATATATTTTAATTTTCTTAAAATTGTAAAATTATATGTGCAAACATACGATGAAGGTTTAGATATTGTATTTTATTTTTATTTTATTTTATTTGTTATGCGTCAGTCATTTATTTTATTAGATTACTGGTTTATTTCTTCGTCTTCTTTTCTGGAGCAACAATTGTTTTAGTATTAATAACTAGACAAATAGCAAACTTGAGAATCCAATTAACATATAGGGTTTGAGAATTAAAATCAGAAATGTACAACAAATGACAGATTAAAGAAAATTTCCGAAATTAGGAGAAAAAACTACAAAATCTCGTTGATTCAATTAAAATCACAGTAAAATTATTCAACATGCTACTTTTACACCAAGAATGGAGATGACATGGGAATAACACTTCTCTCTCTTTATTTCAAAGCGTCCAATTGATGGAGAACTGCAACTAAGAATAAACTACCACATCTTACATTTCAGATTCTTTGATCATTAACAAGACTCGCACACACAGAAAATAAAAAACCGTAATACATAAAGGTTGTGACTGAATGAACATAATTTCTAGCTAGCTTTGCTCAATGCATGCTCATTGAATTTTATCCATTTTTAGTTAACTTTGCGGCAATTTGTACGAATTTGGCCACTGCTCCCTGTTAAAGGACTGAGGTTTCCCATTTTTACCATGGCATTGGCAAAGTCTGTACAGAAAGTTGAAGAGCTTGTGCTGTAGGCAGTGACCTGTGAATCAGTAGAACCACCACTGAAGAGTTGCTGATCAGAATGCAGAAGCCCTTTCTTGTTCACTAGATTCTTGAAATAAGCATTGTCAAATAACACATTGGTGGTCACATCAAGTGGGGACAGGTTGCTGTCACCATCAGTGCTTGGACAATTTGACTGTGCTGATGTTGCAAAATCTGAATCAATGTTGGTCTCATTATAAATCCTACCCCGGAAGAACTGGCATTTGGCTTGACCAGTTGTATGAGCTCCTACACATTTACATTAATTTTGAGATAAGAAAAACAAAATAATTACTCTGTACTGAATTCACGTACTTAATCACACTTTTACACACGGAAGTCTTTGAGAATTTTATTTCTTTTTTCTATCAAAATGTGCTTTGAAGTTACCTGAGAGGACTACCATCTCTTTGGTGGTAAATCCCTTATTTGAAAAAGCTGAAATTAGATCACTAAGATCTAATTGAGGGGATGGAATATCGTTGGTGGCAGCATCTTTACTTGCAGTGGTTGAGTCTCTTCTGCCTAAGCCAACAGTCCATGATGAACCACCCAACTGAGTAAATGAAAATGCCAAGTCAGTTAATATTTTAAATTAAAAGTCTAATATATGTGTTGAAAAATTTACATAGTTAATTCATCAGATATAGATCATGCATTTTCTTGTTTATTTGTATTCTTCTTCTATATGTTGACATTGATTATTGTATTGAGTTAACTTACTGCTACGACAGAATCACGAGCAGCAACTGCAAGAATATCTGCACAGGAAACAGTTCCTGGACAAGCAGTCTCCAACTGACTTTTGATGTCGTCGATTACATCAAAACCTCTCAAAGAATTCACATTTGCAGCAGCTGATTTTTCTCCTGTGAAGCTCGAAGTGTCATCTAGAAGAACTGATGCATCACATCCCTACAAGTTTTCATAACAATATTAATCAATAAAGACTATATGTTCTCCATGGTATATATACTAGAAAAATAAATGTGTGACGCATGGATACATATACTATCTATATCCATGACAAATGTTGTTTGTAGATCATGTAATGTTGAAGTTGTTTCCCTTTTAACCACCATGTCTGATTGCATTTAGCTATTTTTCCGCAAGTGCTATCATACTAAGTTCAATCACTTTTATATATTTAGGTTGTTATGTTAATTATTTAAAAATTAATATACTTCAAATTAAGTTAATTAGGACTTAGAAAATAATGTATGCATGCATTTCATGTTAGGTCAAAGTGAATATATGCATGCGTACGTGCCGCTACTCATGCATGAGTTTGAGAGTGAAACAAATGAAGGAATAGGGAGAGAGAGAGAGAGAGAGAGAGAGAGAGAGAGAGGAAAAAACTTGCATTAACAAAGCAGTCGTGGAAATGAAGACGGAGCAAGGACGCTCCCATGCGACGCTCTTTAGAAACAGCACTTTTCACTGCAGACTTTATGGTGGAGAGAGCAGTGGGGCATGATGTTGCATAGAAATCTGAGGATAGCTGAGCAGAGGCTATGGCAAGTAGACAAAACAAAACAGAGAAGAAAAACACGTTACAACGTGAATTCAAAGCCATTATAGTTCAAATAATCACTAGCAATAGGTGAAGTTAAATTTGAACTTGTTGTTTTGTGAGGAAACACTGCTCCTCCAGCACAATTTATATAGCAAGCCACGCGCGGTCCATTTTGGACCTTACGTGATCTGGTTCTGATCAACTTTAAATTGGTCAAAAGAACAGAAAAATAAACACTGAATATGCATTATTGGATTTCAACCAAAGTCTCCCATTTAGTTTATTATTGCATGGTCGTTGCTTAGCTCGATGTGTCGTGTTTTAAATTAAAGGAAATGGGGAAAAACAGATTATTATTCTATTGGTAGACTTAGAAAAACCATTTCCAAGCAATGTATCACTTGTCTGCCAAGCAATGTAATGAAAAAACGTTTTAAGTGCAAAATTTGCTCTCTTGAGAAATTCTTTGTTGCACTTATAGGTCACATAAACATGCATTATATTTGTGTTTTAAAGTACAACATATCAAGAGCTGCAGAGTTCAGAAGATATCACACAAACGATATATTTCTCACATTCATGCAAGTCTTGGCCTAAACTTGAACTTGGTTGATTAAGTGTAATAATAACTATTGTTCCTATAATTTTGGAGGGACATATTTAAAATGTGTGTATACAAGAAAATGTAAAAAATAATATAATAAAAAAATTATATATAATGTTAAGTACAGTATTAATTATTTAATCTTAGTACAGTAAAAATAAATAGTTGTTTAAGCACTTTGGGTTGCATTATATAGACTATCGTCATGGCATTTAGTTAATTGTCATCACTTTTACTGTTGATATGTTTCTGAGATGTTGGTGTTATAAGCATTTGGAAACGAATTTAACAGAGGGGTACTCTCAGATTCCAAATAAAAAGTCTCACTTTGACAACTAATTAAGGTGTAAAATAAAAAACTTGTTTAGATTAAATTTTCTTTAATGCTTTGACATGTGTTGCTGAGGTTGATTAGAAGATACCTAATCCTCCACAAAACAGTCATAAAAGGTAGCTAGCAAGACTACTATACTATAAAAAAAAGAAACGTGAATAGGAAAGGAAGTAGTGATGATAAACTAGCTAGTGGTTTCAATAATAAAGTATTGCAATTTGGAATGTGAACATGCGATTGAAGGAATCAAGGTAGTCAACAGCATTATTTCCAAGTTCTGCCGATCTGCCAAACTTCAGAACATTCCACATCTATGATTACATTAATATTGATGATAACAAAAGTAAACGTTGTATACAGAAAAGGGTCCAAAAGGTTCATATTTGATATGGTTTGAGAGGACCATGCGTATGGAATATATTCAACTTGTGGTGCGATGTGTTGATGAAGATGGAATATTGGTTTCTATTTTCCCCCATTCACTTGAATTTGCAGGCAAGTAGCAGCCAAAATGGAAAATGGGGTGCAACGACCACCTACGTACACAACACCCCACTAAACTCATCATGCTTCACACTTCTCTTTTTGCCTTCCAGAATATCTTTATTTTATACACACTCCTTTTTTTTCTTTTCTTTTTTTCTATTTCTGTGTATATATTACATTATATTACTTATTCATGCAATATTTTTCTTTAAAGTGTTCAAGGTGGAGGTTAATAGAATATTTAAGATAAATAAAATTTGAATTACTTAATTTTTCTTTATTTATATTATGTCAGTGCTCAAAATTCTATTATGGTAAAAGAAAAACATTATCTAATCTAGAATTTAAATATAATTGTCATTAAAAGTGTAAATAAATTATTTTGTTACTTTACACAAAATATACAATGACTAAACATTAAAAAAATAAATAATTTGACCATAAAATTTCTTATATAATAATTAATAATAACACATTTTGACCTTGTTAATTTAGTTCAGATTCCTCAAAACTAAACCATAGATTTAAAAATAAAATCAATCACTAGAATTTGAGTAAATTATTAGATTTAGATCGTATTAAACTAAAATTCAAATAAATATAATTGATTATTTCAAATTTTTTAACTTATTGTTTTAAAATTTAATTGAACGGGTTAAATGATGAACAAACTTATTTCTCTTCAGAATGCAGGCATGCGAGTAGTCAAAACTTGTAAATTAATTCTTCCCCGTATTTAGTTGTATTAGGTCTGGAAAGGGAGAGAAAAAAATTATACATAAAGTTCTTGCATGTAAACCTTTTAATCAACTTAGTCTACGTAAGGAATCTCAAAGACAAATGAAATACACGTATAAGCAACATTCTGACCAATAACAAACATACTAAAGGAATATATATATGAGGTTAATATATATGAGTATAATACTAGACTCAATTGATGATAATCTCAATATTTTTGCATTAAAAAACCAGTTCATATGTTGCCTGACAGTTGGTTGGGTTAGGATAGATGTGATTGGAGACCAGAGAATCATTTTAGGGGTGACTTCAAGGGGAAATTGAGAGTGGAAGAAGCGTCTGGCTTTGAACTGGTTGGCGAGGAATGGGCGGGGCAGATCCAAAAAATTCTCACGCTTGACGAAACAGATCCTTTATATGAAAAACAAACTATTATTATGATACCGCAATTAACACCGATTACCATAACTTGTTTTTATCTGTAATGATCTTCCAATTTCACAAATATTTTCGTGCTAAATCTGTTTCAAAGGTATTTGCATTTAGTTTAATACATTCTCAACTCTGGAATCCGGGTGGTTGTTCTATACAGTATCCTCAGGTAATTCTTGCACCTAAACGGAAACATCTTGACAAATTTTCATCATAATTAAACAAGAATTTCTTATATTCACAACTATTTTATGCTTACAAAACCAGTTTACAGATAACAAGTGAACAACTAGAGACTTCACTATATATGCATAAATTATTTGTATTTGAATTTTTGTCATTAATGATAAAAAAAAAAAAATACAATTATAAATGACGTTGAAGAGGCAGCCATTAGGTTGACAGTCATAATAAATTATAAATCTCACCCTAGGCATGAAAACAAACTCCCAATGAAACAGATGCGGTGGCAAAACCAACCCACCATTTCCATGTTCCATACTTGCACCCAATAAATATTAAGACTGAAGATCAGTTCCCACTCTATAATTTCTTAATTTCCATGTCCTAATCTGGTAATTCCAATCATAAATCAAAGGACTTATTGTCTTAATCATGAACCAAATTGTATGATGAATCGTAAGATTCATATCAATAACTAAAAATATTATATATAGCTAACAAACTCATAAAAACAACTAACAAAAATTGATCTAGGAGTGTTTCATATAAGGAAACAATGAAAACATCTGCATATTGGCATTTTAAAGTCAAATAACTCACTACATAGCTAATAAAGTGAAATATTAACTTCAAAATAAATCATAATTCAACGAATAAAAGCCAAAATGAACTTCAAACTACAGTAAGGACTATGTAAGGGGACAATTTCACAGTGGCTTCATTTAATAACTTAACCTCTTTTCACGGTGACTTCACAAAATAACAACTTCTTTCTTGTCATTTGTGACTCATTTTTCACCCTTTCAGCTCACATAGCCAGAAATCACAGCACACACAAAAGGCTCAACAACAAAATAGAAAGATAATAGCAGTAGCAATATACAAAAGTTAGACTGAACCAACACATCAGCAGAACAATTGTAAGATACTAATTAAGCAATGCATAAACAGAGTAAAAAGGACATGGACAAATTCACGAAAACAAAGGAGAACAACTTTTGTTGTTTTCATAGATCTGTCCTTATATAGCTAATTCTATGCCCAAATCTTTATCAAGTTGACAAAATATCAAACTGTAGGAAAAGCTGAATAAATTTGTTCAAATATAGTTGAGGCCTAGATTCAAATATATTGGTTCATAGACTGAATCACAATTCTAGGTAAACTCCTTAGTTTGGGTTGAACACCCTCATCAAGAAACTACAAAATCACTTGGGAAGTTACATGAATAAACAAACAGTAATTCAAATTTGTATTATACAATCCCATATAAAGACAGTTTCTAAAGAATAATACCAGAGACAAAATTAGTTAAGCCGTACTCTGCTATCTATGCCTTACTATACCCACAAGTTTTTTTCACTCTGTTATTCCAGAACCGTTATCCACATCAACCTCACCCATTCCTGTATCTTCTTCCTCCTCACTGTCTTCATCACCACTGACCTCTTCATTATCCTGGCGCAGCTTAGCCATGTGCTCAGCAAGCAATTTATCATCACGTTCACTCACCTGAAACAAAATGCAGTGTCAAACCTCCCAAAGTAAGAAAGTACTAGAATTCTACTCTCCCTATACTGAGTTAAAAATAAATAAATAGAGAACAGGATCCCAAGGCAGATGGAGAAAATATTGTAAAACGACATAATGGATAGATGAAAATAAAAAAACAAATAGAAGAGGTGACACTCACTGCTCTAGGTGCCTCCTTAACCACAAGTTTACCCTTGTGTTGTTCTATTGCTTCAGTGCAAGAAGTAATGGCATTGTTGAGAACCAATATTCCTTGCTCCTGTCAAGATCATAAAAAAATACACAAATTACTTTCAATAGTAAGGTTATCATTTGAACTTAATGAAACAAATCTACAATTGCCTCTTGTAGTGTGGATAGTGAGTACCATACATATTACAGTGTCTTAACAGTTGTGATATTAATAACCTTAGTTTATTGAACTCCACCAATGTCGTTCTATAACACGGTTGAAATTAAAAAAGATTAAATATATTTTTAGTCCCTATACTTTTTGACAAACTTGGTTTTCGTCCCTATATTTTAAAAATTGATACTTAGACCTCAAGGTTTAAAAAATATATGAACTAATCCTTTTATCAATTTTATTATAATAAAAAAATGATACTAAATATTAAATTCAGGTTTAAAATATGACTAAAATCACATTTAATCCTTTTATCAGGTCTGTCAAGGTAAAAAAAAAATCATTACTAAAATGTTGAATTTAGTTACGAAAAAAAATATTAAAATCACTTCTCCAAAAGT